GTTTCACAGCTGGTGTTACCAATGAAAACCAGGCCTTTGTTGTGGTTACACACAACTTTTGAGTGGTCTGCTCTACAGTTTTTGTCAGAATCAACAGGATTATGTGGATTTAGATCGGTCAAAGCAGTGGAAAATCTTACAAGTGTAGGGCTACATATATCTGTCAGTATGTGCACTTTCAACTGGGGCTTTAGTTGTCTGGGACAATCTTGTTACACTGTATGCTCATGTTCTGTGACAGCGCAACCCCCATAGCCAAAGCACTGCTTGACATTTGCACACGTCAGTTGAAAACTCCTAACAGGGAGAGTAAAGCATGTCAGGTAGAGGCAACATGCACACCTTCATTTAATAGGGTAACAAAAAAAGATATAAAAGGTGGTTCACTCAAGAGGGAAAAAAAATGTTTATGCCAAGAGTAGCTCATCACGCAGTAGAGTCTGCCCTCTTATTCAACCATAAAACACTGTTTACAGTTAAGATCTTTTAGAGAGATACAGTAGTATGGGAACGTGGGAGTTTGTTTATGTGTGTGTGTTGTGTGTGAGCTAGAACGGACATTTAAATATGGATGACAGATTCAGTTTGAGCTTCTGTGTTAGGTCTGCTCTCCCGCTGCCCACTGATTTTCCAGTCTGTAATCAACTCTGTGGAACCCCCTATGAGCAAACACTTGGCAACAATGAGAAGGAAAAACTCCACTTTTTAACACGAAGAAACCTCCAGTAGACCCAGGCTCAGGGAGGGGAAGCCATCTGCTGCAACCGGTTAGGGATGAGGGGAGGGAGACAGGACAAAAGACACGCTGTGGAAGATTGCCGGAGATTGATAATAACTAATGGTTAAATGCAGAGTGGTATATAATCACATAGATAGTGTAAAAAGGGGAGTGGAGAAGAAATGCTAAATGCATCATTGGAAGCCTAACTATAAGCTTTATCAAAAAGGAAAAGTTTTAAGCCTAATATTAAAAGTAGTGGGTCGTCTGTCTCCTGAATCTAACGAGGAACTGATTCCACGGAAGAGGCGCCTGAAAGCTGAAGGCTCTGCCTTCCATTCTACTTTTAAATTCCCTAGGAGCCCAAATCTGAGAGCAAAGTGCTCTTTTGGGGTGATACAGTGCTATTAGGTTTGTAAGTTCAGATGGGGCTTGACAAGTGGTTGCACGCTTCCACTCAAGTTATTTGTAAAACCCAAGAGCTAAGGTTTTAAGCGTTACTCTCATTCATATATAAATGCAATCTATTATTATTATTATTCTCTGACACCCAAATTGAAAAGCCCTTGACAAGTTTATTTCTTGCAATGAATCATGCCCCTGTGATTACTCTTAGTTTTCATCTGAATGCGCAAGGTTTTTAATCACTACAAATTAAATCGCTATAGTAGCCGAGCTGCTGAGAATGATGGCCTCAACACTGCATTAAATTAATTTTTAGATAGGAAAATACCATCACAGTACATCAAAATGGTGTAACCAAAGAAAGGCATTTTACAAATGACAAATGATGTTGTCCTTCTGGCAAAGAAAGCAAAGCCATAGAAAAGAGCTGCTATCACAAATAATGGCTTTAATCAAAGATCACAAATACTAGAAAGGATACAACTGATAATTTTCACTGTATATGCTCTTCTGCACATCTATAAAACCAGGAGATGTAAATAAGTTGGACTATTTGTTAAAGACATTAGGGCTTGGATGACATGTACTTTTCTCCTAATAAATTCAGAATCCTGAAGCTATCATATTTGGCTGTAAAGATTTAGGAAACATGCCATCCAACCAAATACTTTCTCTGGATGGAAGTACCTTAAACTCCAACACCACTAGGAAGGAACATCAGGTCCTTTTCGTTCAGAAAAATTCACACAGTAAACAAACCTTTAGGACGGCCTTCTATTATCTTCTTACTATTACTTAAATTAGAAACATACTTTCTCAGGGTGAAAAAACTACCTCGCATTTATTACTTCCAGCCTGGACAATTGTAATTCTTGAGATACCTCCCATTTTGGTTAGTCTTTGTTGGCTCCCCCTGTTAAATCAAGATTTAAATAAAAAATTCCTCTACTTGAGTATGTCCTAAATAACCATGCCTCCATTGTGTCTTAAAGACCTTGTAGCACCTTATATTCCCAAAAGAGCACGTGCCTCTCAGAGTGCAGCCCTATTTCTGATTCTCAGAGTTTGCAAACGTATGATGGGAGGCACAGCATTCAGCTATCAGGCTCTTCTCCAGTGGAACCAGCTTCTAATTTGGTTTAAGAAACATAGACTCTTTTCACTTTTAAGATTAGGTGTCAAACACTTTTTTTCTGTTCAAGTTTCATTGATAAGTTTTGCTGCATTAGGCCCAGTTGCAGGGAGGCCTCACATGATGCACTTAGCAACTCTCCTATAAGATCTGCTTCCCTTGGATTTTATGGTGCTACTGCATATTATTAATTTTTTCTCTTCTCTCTGCACGTAAACTTTCTGCACATATAGTTGCCTCTGGAGCTGCATGTTCCTGATTTGTTGTTACTTGCTGTACTAGTGAATATTTGTCGCTCTGTGCTCATCTTTTCACTTTCTCCTCACCCCAACTGGTTGTGGTGACAGATGTTCCCTGAGGCTGCTTCTTGCCATTGGCCTCTTTCCAGCAAAAACAAAACAAAACAAAACAAACAGCAATTTCTCTCTATAAAACCGTAAGGTCATGACTTTAGTTGCTACGCTAGGTGTCCTGAGAAGGCAGGTTGTAATTTGGTGCTATATAAGTTTTATCCTAATGTAACAAGTAATAAAGCTCTTACTAACTGAGAAAACAAACTACAGTCTCCGATTGCATTCTCTAGACATATCTGTCTCTATTGTCACCTTATGTCACAAGTCTGAGAGTATTTTTTTTTTTAAAAATCAACTAATTGATAAAGAAGTTATTCTTATGTAAGCTGATGTTAGTTTTTTCCGCGTTTACTTAAAGTCGGTGGAGTTTGCATGACTCAGACAGTAATCAGGCAGGGCCCGTGACACCTACTGTAGATAGAGAGAGATTAATGGGAACAAAGCTCCTCTCATATTGTGGCACCTTTGAATGACTAAGCACTCAGGCTGGTTTACATCTGAGCATAAGGTGTAACAGAGGATTACAGCGTCAGGGGAGAGAAGATTACTCAGGTGTGGGGCTGCTGTGAGAGCCTGTGAAAAGACAACTCAATGTTACGCCAGCAAAACCAAGAAAGATGCAATTGTAAATTGTCAACAAAGCCAAAAAGTGGTCAATGGACAATGCCTATCATTGTATCTACTCGTGCTTTATTCACCCATTCATGTAGATCCCTTCAGACTCTCTCCCGTTTCTTGATAATGGAGCCCAATCTCGAGTCGTGCATTTCATTTTTAAACCTCCAACTCGTGTCTACTTTTAGGAACTGGCTGTACTTTAAGGAATGGTAAATGGACTCCTTCTTATATAGTGATTTTCTACTCTGCTTGGGCACTCAGAGCACTCTTAAATCTATAATATCTTGCCCAATTATACTTTGGCATGCAGACTGGAGCAGCCAGTCAACAACCCTCTGATTAGAAGGAAGGTAACAATTCACAAACTAGCCCTTCAGTGACACAGAAAATTAATATTTGTGGTACGTTTCTCAAACGAATAGGTTTCTATTTTCATTCTACAGTTGGAGGAGGAACAATGAATCTACTGGCTGTCTTACAAATAATTCTGGAATGCTTCACAGTTTCCTGGTGGGTCGCCTCTTCCAGTATGCCTCGTTCAATGGTGTCACTCCAAATCATAGCATCACTCTATTCACCTTCACCTCTATTATTTGTCCACACAAGGTGCCTATTGTTATGAAACTCTGCTCACTGTCTCTGAATCTTTGTTTGATTGTAGTCTTTTGAATGCTTATACAACTTGTGATTGCGGTCTTGTGTAGGAGGTTGGGGGCGATATTTGATGTCAAAACAAGGGGATATCCTTAAGATGGTTACGTGAGCACTGCACCCACCCACCCTCTGTTCAAAAATTACGTGTATGAGGCAAAGTCAAGAAGAAAGCTGACCTAAGGGTTAAGATACAAGCTAAATCAGCTTGTTTTTACACAATGTATGAACTCAGGGTCTACACCAAAGCCCAGCATCATCATCATACCACTAGGATAATTGTACGGTATGTACGATTGGTTTATTCTTGATGAAATTCTATAAACTACCTAGGCTACCATGATTTGCAACATCTATATGGTGACTGATTCAAATATTTACTTCAAATTAAAAGTATTGTTTCTTTTTCTGTGCATTTCCATACAGAAACTGCACGATGGAGGCCAGTTTTTGCACACGTTTGCATGTTCATATGGTTTTAGATTTAGATTTATTTACTGGTTGTTTGAGAAATTCCATTTGTGCCTTGTGGTGACTGTTGGACAAATACGCACCTTACGTGTAACGCTCTCTACAGGGTGTGCGTTTTAAGAAATGGCAAGTTTTTATTTCCTATCTGCCGCACTTATACTGATCTGAACCATTAACTGAGGGTGAAAGATGTGTCACAACACATGGTTGTTTGCTACGTCCAAAGAACCATTAACAACATAAAAGGCCACAAGTAGTCGCTGTGAATCGCAGGTGGGGCCGTTCATTCCTTTGATGTAAAGTGCTGCCTTGCCTTTCAATTCTTTTCCTTTTAAATTGATATGTTTCCAATAAAAGCCCCTATGATTGATATTAATGTGAGTTAAAGTGCCTGGCCTATAAAAACATGTTGAAAGTTGTGCGCTTTCCTCTTTTACTGGCTGTGTAAACTTCTACTGATATACATGTACTGATGCAAGCCTGGCAGAAAAACTAGCTTTTGATAGTGAGCTAAATAAGGGTTATTCTGAACTTTGGATCACCTAAAGCAGGGGTGTCAAACTCAAATACACAGTGGGCCAAAATTCAAGACTGGAACAAGGTCGCGGGCTAACATTAATATTTACTGGAAAAAAAAAAAAATCTTCCTCCAGATTTAAGAATGAATCTCTTCTTATGGACTCAAACAAGTTTTGCTGAAAAACTGAATATGGAACAAGCAAAGCTTAATACGAAACAATATATATATTAGCTGTATAATACCAGTAGGCCAGCTCTAATAGTAATTTGGTATGGCTTCGCGGGCCAAATGTAATTAGGCTGCGGGCCAAATTTGGCCCACGGGCCAGAGTTTGACACCTATGACCTAAAGAAACTATTTGGAGTCTCAGGTTTAAATATGAAACTGAACAGGTACCCTTTAAGGATTCATCTGAACTTTAAATATCAGTGGAAATACCAGTTTACCTTGATCCTATTGGCCTTTGTGGCCCTGTTGTCATTGTTCACACATGCCCTGATGAGTCAAGCGGCAAATCCCTTGCTCGAATGTATCTGACACCGCCACACACAACAAATTCACCATCTTATTGTACCAGTTTCCAGCATCATTTTATGGTGAATTCCAGTAATGATAATTGTGAATCTTGCTCATACCAGATGTAACGTTTTGGGACTCTTAAAAACAAAAACAAAAAATGATTTACCCAAGAGGAGGTACAACTTTGGGGCTCTCTATTACAATTACACGTATTTACTGTACACTGAAGCCAAATCATAGTGTTGCCATTGAAAACTGTGAGGTTCAGATTTTCCCACCTATTTTACCTAATTAAAAAAATGTCCCTTCTTCCTCATTAAATGCGATTTCTGTCTGTTATAATTCCTCAGGCTGTAGAAAACAATCAGGGGATTAATGGTTCAACCATGTCAGCTATAACCCTATAGCAACAGTAAGATTAGAATACTGTTGACAATCTTGCAGTCCTTTTTCATCCACACAGACACCGTTTGAGTGCTACTTTGTCATTTGGTCTTAAGGATCTCGTTTAACGTCTCTATATCTTGCCATTTGTGCCGAATCTTCCGTTTTACCACTTAGCTTCTGAGAATCCTTTCCCACAAATCTCAGAGCGCCGTGTTTAATCATCAGGTGACAGGTAACACCCCCCCCCCCCTTTTTTTGTTTACTTTACACACATTAAGCTATTCCAGTGTCATTTTCAGATTAGTGCTCAGCATGTTCCCATTCCCCTGCTCCCTTTATTCACTTGAGTGCAGGCTGCGGCTTAAAGAAAGAGCCCCTCGCACCCCACCCACCCCTCATTGCTCTGCCTCCTTACTAGGGAAAACTGATATCTTGTAGGCTGTAATTTGCACTGGACTTAATCCAGCTGACTTAAAGCTCATCTCAGGAGCGATTTATCCATCACCAACGTGGCTTTCATAGATGATTTCATGCACACTGTTTTTACTAAACGTCATGTTAGTGTCACCACGACTCACTGAGAGGTTTGAGGACGCTCACGTCTACATTCTCCCCGTCGGACTTGGACCCTTCTGCGCTCTGTTCAGGTCGTTCCCGCTTCTCCTTGTGGCTAGGCCTGCGTCTGTGGCGCCTCCTCCTGTGGTAGCTCTTGGGAACGTGGACACCGATGTACACAGTGTGATGACCTGTCACAACATAAAGCAGAGAGCAAGCAGATCAGATGACAAACACGGGAGAGAAAATAAATCACTTTAATCCCAAAAGCTGGGTAATCTGCATCGTCCACCGACAGGAGAAAAACTGCAGCTGTAGTGTGATGTAGTGTGAAATGTTAAAACATTTCTATTTCCTCTCACAGTATCCCATCAAATTGCAAAATTAAAGAAACGCCAGTGACTTCCTACACAGAGACTCGTACAGGAAATGATGATTTAATGTCTCCAGGAAGTAATTAGAAAGAATAGTGGGTGTGAGAAGACTGAGATTTCTTCACCCATGCATTTCACAAACATTTCTTTTAGGGTTAAATAATCTTTCATACTTGATGGTTAGCCTTGTTTTCTTGTAGAAAACAAAAGGCCAACACAAAACCACGCTCTTCTTTCAGACTCCTGTGCAGGCGAGCACAGGAGGCTCTTGCAGCTACTGCTTACACACAAGCAGCTCGACATAATCCCCAAGTATTTTTGCTTTGTGTTCATCTAAAAGAAGTGGTTTTGTGAAGTATGTGGATGCCTCAGTAAATTCATATGGGTGTCTCCAGATGCATTCTTTTGCGGGTTTAGCTGACAGCCAGAACTGGACAGGATTAGACAACTTGAAGAGACCTCTTCCTGTACAGAAACGTTAGACGAAGTGGATAATGTTTATCCTATATGTCTAATTCTGCACTGACACTCTGGAGGGTGAAAGAAATGACTGGTTTCACATTTGCTTGCACAGGGCTGCATATAGTATGTGTGGAAAAAATGGGAATACATTATACTTATCACCTAAAGCTAAAGATAGTGGGCTGCAAAGTGTCTTTACCTTCCACTTCCTCTTCATCACAGATATGTTTGACAAACGAGGCTCCTCTGTCCAAGACTGCCTCATCCTCCATTCTAAAAGGAACAAAAAAGAATTAAAAATGTTACATAAAGATCATGATATGGGTTAGGATGACTTATGGCTCCATATTCAACATCCTCTGACCACTGTATCCACTATCACACCTCTACACAGCTGCTCCAAAGTAGAAAAAAAAAAGTACTGTAATGTAATGTCACTTATATGACCATCAGAGTGAAATTCAACTTACTGTGAAACACAATCCTGAAAAAAGATTCTTATTCAGTGTGAAATGTTGTTGGATATTAAAGTAACATCTACATTCCAAGATCTATCTATCTATCTATAAATATATATATATAATGTTAGCACAAATTTTATTTCAGGTTTTATTGAGGGATGCAGTGCAAAAAGTCTCAAGCCACCCCTCATTCTTGCTTCCAAGAAGTCAGACTCTTGAAAAATCATTCGCCAGGATTTCTGAATGCCTTTCAAAGGTGTTCTTTGGACTTTGGTTGCTTTTTCACTGATTTTCAGTCGAGTAATTGACCATTTTTACAGGAAGGGTTTCTTTGGCAAGCCACTTAACACTGACCTATGAATCGTACAAACATTTAAAAAAAAAAAGCACCTAACTGAAAAAAAAAGATGAAACAGTATTGTGTGTAAACATAACAGACAACTTAGCAAAGAATCAATTTTTAAAATGTATCTTTAGGGCATTTTGTTGCTAACAGTAAGTTGCAAAAACACACAATTTGTCCCCATATCCCAAAAGATAAGGCAGTTACAGGCATAAAACAGTGTTTTTGCACCAAAAAGGTGAGTCCCAAAGAGCTATCACCTAAAGTCTTTGCATATCTCAGCATGGTCTGCAGTGTGTCCTTAAAGAATTTGAGGAAACAGGACAAATGCAGGGCAAAAGAAAAAGTGGCACACCCAATCTTTTTTCCGTAGCAGATGAACAGTATCTGAAAGTCATGTCATTAAGAAACAATGAAAAAAGTCTCAGTAGAAGGGTGGCTCCCCAGAGGCCGTTCTTAAGGAAGGAAAACGTGGAGAAAAGGCCAGCATATGCCAAATCAAATGAGAACTGGAATGCAAAAATCAGGTTTTATGGAATAATGAATCTAAATTTGAAATTTTTGCTTCAAATCATCATCAATATGTACATCAGGTGAGAGGTACAGCAGTGAGAGTCTACAGCCATCCGTAAAATACAGTTGGGGATTTTGTCAAGAGTGATGAAATGATGAATGCAGAAAAGTACCAATTTTTTCAAAATTTTGATCCACTGTGCAAAATGTCCGATTGGCACTTGCTTTATATTTAAACTTTTACTGCCTATTGGATCACTCCAAAACTACACAGGAATAGCTTGTTAATTAACACCATCAGTAACAAACTTCAATATAATGCATCAAGGTCTTGCAGTGCCGGCAGGTTTCCCCTGCTCAACAAGGTAAATGTACTTCTACCCTCACCAGCATCAACTCAACTTGCCATGTTTGGAGGAAGAGAAATCCTAAGTACGTCCCAAAGAACACCGTCAACACAGTCATGCAAGGAGGTGGAAGCATTATGCTTTGGGCTATTGTTCTACAAAGGGTACAGGACCACTTCACCACTTTGAGGAGCCAATGGGTGGGGTCATGTGCCAACCTACTTCCCTCAGCTAGAACACTGGAGATGGGTCATGGATAGGTCACATTAAGGTCATGGAGTGGCCTAGTCAGTCTCCAAACCTGGTGACCAACTACAAAAAACGTCTCACTGCTTTGCTTGCTCCACCAGGTAGACAGTCATGTTTTGCTTGGGGATAAAAAGTCTCAAGCCACCCCTCACTCTTGCTTCCAACTTGCTACTTAGCTCACCTGGTAATGTGGATAATTATTTTCAACACTGAATACAGAAAACAATACACCATAAAAAGATGGGGAAAAAAACAAAACAAAAAAACAGGCTGCCTTTATATTCCACTGTGCTGAGCTATAAAGGGTAAGTAAAGACTTACCCTGTGCCTGTGTGTCAATTTACTGCGTCAAACTGCAGTGAAACTAAATATGCGTGTCACAATCAAATTTGTATTTTTCCACTCTAGCAGCATTTTTTTTTCCAATAAACCAAAAATAAATATTTGCTTTGGGATGCACACAAAGAATGCAAAATAAACACATGAGCAGTTTAAATTTGCTACTGAACAATGTGAGGCCAACGATGAGACAGCACAGAAGGAATGGGAGCAGTGCGCAAAACCGCTAAATAAACAAAGTCAGGAAGGATACAACGTGTTCCTTTGATTGCACTCCGAGCTCATCTGGATCTCCCTAGTGGATATGATCTCTGGCCCTAAGAACATAGGAGCACAACACTGATGATAACAGATGCAACCAGCTCCCAGATCAAATGGGTGTCGAGGAGTGGTTGGGTTAAGTGCCAAGTTTATATGCAATCCTTAACCTCTGTACCTTCTTTTTGTTGCTCTTTTTTCTTAAATATGAAAAAAATAAAAAAAATAATAAAAGTGACCGAGGTTAAGTTTCCACACCGTTCCGTGCACATAGAGTCAACACTATCATTTAGGCCCTGATTGCTTTGAGTGTTCTGTTCCGCTTGTCCTCATCGTCTTCCATCCCAGGACAGAGCATTCAGAAAATAGCACCAGCTTTAGAAGAGCTGGGTTCTGCCATGCTGTATTCTTTGTACCTTGTACCTAAGCAGACATGTTAACAATGATCAGAAGTGACATGCTATAAAAACATGAGATTGGCCCTTTTAATTCATTCTTGCACAATGGCTGTACAGACAGGAGCTACGATTCAGGATCTCTCTAAGAACCCAGCTTGGGTATTTACTTCTGCAGCAGGTACCAAAGAACTGGTGATGCAGCAGTATGCATGAAGGCAGCTCATGTAGCACAGAGAGAGGGTCATCAGGGAAACCGGTGAGCACACAGAAGAGCAAAGAAAGCTCATGTTTCAGGTTTTACTGCTGGCTAAGGCAAGTTCACAGAGCCGTGTTAATCACTGCACACTGCGGCCTCAGACAGGGCTCGACTAACCATGAGAAACAGGCCACAGGTGGTTTACAGACATCCTGGATGCAGGAGGGGAACGCATCATTCCTGTTTTGAATTGGGTGTCAAATGGAAAAAAGAATTATGGTAAGTGCTTCAAAGAGAGTAGAAACTTTAAATCTGCTTTTTGGTATAACTCAGAAAAGTCAAAATGACTCGCCGAGTTTAAAATCAGGTCAACATAGTCGATTGGATCCTACATCTCCTCATTCAAGTCATTTTAAATGCAGGAAATTACTTGATCTTGTCCCCCCCATTTCCTTTTATGGCTTCCTCTGCTTGATTAATCAATAATAATAAGAATAGTAATGATAAGAATAATAATCTGGGTGAAGATCTGAGCAACCAGTTGCATCCATTTCTCACTCCTGAACTTTCGATTCTGCTTCAGTTCTCGGTGACCTCAGGCGTCTGGATAAACCTGTCAGTGCTGAGGAGCCGGGATCAGCTGTTTGGGATCAAGGATCATCCCCATCTCTTTACAGAATGACGCATCCAGTCCAACCAGCCAGGTTGGCCATGAGGGTAGATGCCCTCAGCGCCATCAGGGCAAAAAACAGAAAGAAAGAAAAAAAAAAAAGGTGTATGGCAGTGAGTTTCAAGCCTTAAAGTGATACTCGAGCTAAAGCTGATCTTCTGGGCGGCAATACCCACATGAAAGTTTAACAGGTAAGCATAAAACAATGGATTTTGCTGGTTGCAGTTAACTTCTGCACCATTACTTGAAGGACAGAGGAAGACATATAGGTGATCAGCATTAGGTATATAACTTGATAATTAGCCATTTGGCAATTTCTCAGGCTGAGAGTAGGCCATAATATGAAGCATATACCTATATATATTTTTAATCAAATTATTGCAATAATACAACCATTATATTGGTATTGTTATCACAACATACTTTTCAGCTTAATATTTCTCAGATATAGCCACCCAATTAACGCTCAAGTGGGGCTATTGTGACTTCCACTACCACACCACTGCTGAGCCTGAATGTGAAGTGAAGTGGGTAAACAAATAAATGGCCATATCACCAGTACAATCAAAGAGGTTATTTGACTTGTGTAATAATCAAACAGTAGTTAGCTCGGTGCCCTTCAGCTCTGCCTTAACTTTTGGAATTTCCTTCAATGGCACATTGGTCAAAGCATCAACGTTAAGAACACAAAAGAGCATTTTAAGTTTCAGCAGGCGCTCACACAGGTGCAGGTGAACCAGAACAAAAACAATAGAGAAAACGTTTCCCTGTTACAAAACCAGACGTCTGTCTCCGGGAAAGACACAAGAACGAGGAATCGGCTGTCACTTTTATTTCTGCTGCTGACAAGGCACGGCACAATAGGTCATTTCAGGTTTCGTTCGTTATTACTTGGAGAGGGCGTCACGCTCGCTCTGAGGGACTGTGCCTCGCCTATTCCGATGCAATTACATTTTCAAGCCAAAAACATCCATCTAAAATAACTTGTTACCGTGAATGAGATGCTTGTAAGGAAAGTGCAGACTCCGTGAATCTTCCCTGTTTGACATTACTGTGAAGTCTATACAACTGGGCCCAGTGGATTGGATGGGGGTGGGGTTCCCCCTCATACCCGTCCGCCACGGGGAAAGTGCAGTCTAGCGCATTACGCATTACGCACGGCTTTATTCAGAAAGATGCAATGCAAGACATCTCCGACACTTGCCTCGCGCTCTCCTCCTCTCTAATTAATAGCGACAGCTTCTTGGAAAATAGATTAGCCCGTTCATAGCCACAGTGTGTGTCTTATCTATCCAAGGTTGTCGCTGGAATGAATGAACGCTTTTTAGAAAGATCAGTACTCTTATAACTAGCTTGCACGTGGCGTTACTATGGCATGGCATCAGCGATCCACTAAACTCAGAAACCACAGAAATTCCAGCTTTACGCACACTGGCACAATGCTTTGAACGTGACTACTTCGTTTTCTAGTGAGCGACATTCCTGACGCCTCGTTCACCGACTCAACACTTGACAGGAAACAACAAAACAAATCTCCCCAAAAGCCCAAGGACCGAAAGCTACGAGGTAAAACTTCAAACGTGCATAGCTTTTAGTTTCACAAGTTAACACTTGACGATCAGACACTTACTTGCTCTTGTCGGAACTCATGGTGACAAGTTTCCCCTTCGCGGCTGATCAGCGTGGCGTCCACCTGTCCTCCTCGTCAGTTTCGAGTCGTGCGTGTTTGAGAACGGTTGCCTAATCGAGCTGCTGCGCTCCCAAAGTGCCTAAAACTAAAGTACGTGAGCTGCGGCTATCTCGCTGGGATGATCTCTTCGACCCTACAAATCAAACCTAACGCGAAACGCGCAATCCACATATCTAAATGGAAACGCACACGCAAGGCCAAGGTAACATCTTGTCCAAAGCGCCTGTTTGGAAGTGCCACGGGAGTCTTTGTGTGTAGCGTTTCTTTCCCCATATTTAAAGTACCATCCCTCCTCCTGCGTGACGCCACGGGGGCGGAGGTCAGACCATTAGTGCTGGGAGGCGCGCAGAAGACTAAAACTTGACAAATTGGCTCCCCATTACTTGACTAAAACAACTTTGACTATAGACAGAAACATGAAAAATCAGTTTTTTATTGCTTAACAGGAAATATATAAACAAATCCTGCTAACAACATTCTAAAAGTTACACTTAAATAATTCATTTGAACACTTGCTGAGGATGGGTATTTATTTTGGACCCGGAACTGCCAAAAAGAGCAAAAGCAAACAAAAAAAAGTCATGAGATGTTTCCACCTTGGTGATCCATTCTACTCTGTGCTTTTTAAAAAGGCATTAAAAGTAAAAATGAAAGAAGCTAATGTCAGATAGCTTTAGTCAAATCCTATTGGAGCTACCAGGTAAAGGCAGGCTGAGCGCTCAGAAATAGCCGAGCAGCTTTAATGGAGACTGGCGACATCTTCTGGAAGAGCTGCACAGAGTGCCAAGAAACATTTGGAGCGGAGAAAGAACACGTGTGACACTTGATTTTGTGCAATCGGTGGGAAAAAAAAATAACAAGTTTACTGTCATTGTTATCAGTGGACATACATTATAATCTCATTTGTGCACATTAATGCTGATAAATACACAACACTTAAAAAAACAACAACAACCAAAACCCCCCAATATCTTTTCTTTTCAGTTATTGAACACTGTCATTGTCTATGCTTTAAAAGCCATCCAGTCTTCAATCTTTTCTTTGTGGTGGTGTTCATAGCGTGCTCAAGAACTCTTTGACCTACAAAAAAAAAAGAAAGAAAAAAAAAAAGGTGTCAAATTAGCATAAAAATCTAAACCAACAAAGGCATAGATCATTACTTTGGATTTCTTTTCCCTTCCCCTTCTTGGATAACAGCTGGGTTTATGTAAGAGCACCAAGTTGTGTGTGGAACAGGGTTTTTTTGTGTCAGATGTGAAAATAAATGCCCGAGTTAACCACAGCTGATAGCATCAACATGAAACTGGTTCATGAACAAGCGCAGTGTGTGTTTACTCAAGTAAAAGTACCAATGCCAGTGCTCAAGCACATTTTATTGCATCACTGAGCCCAGAAGCACAAGAAACTCAGTCTCATGCAGCATTTTGCCCAAACTGTCTTCTTTTATAACAGCAAGTGAGTAAATCTGAAACATCTTTTTACAGTAGTGTTTTGACACAGTGCTGCTCAAACCTGTTGAGCCACTTGTTGCTTATTTCCATTTTGCTAGGAAAATGAGGCAGATGCAGTGATTTATTGAAACGTGCAAAAACATACATGGAAATGCAGTATATGAAAAGTAATGAACGCATTACTTGATGATTTCTGTTCTTTACGCAGGCTGAAACGGTACCAACCTTCTCGATCATGTTAGCACATTTGATTTTATCGCCCTTAAAATCTTCATTCACGTCAAGCGTCATGACCGGCACGTCATTGAGATACTCAAACTCCATGCTGTGGGAAGACATGATTTAGAACATGCAGTTAGAGACGTTATAGTTTCCCACTGTGGGAAACTGCATACTGTTTTTAATGAAATGAAGACATTAAACTTTGTAAGGAAATGTACACATGATGGAGCAAAGAAACAGCCCATCACACAAAGCCAATGACGCAGATGAAGATCACATGTATCGCTGTTCGAGCCTTCGCTTCCCCCCCCCTCCAGCTGTTGCATGAATGGGGGAGTAGGGGGTTTCCAATGCTTATTCAAAGCCTCTCCTATCATACAAGTACATCTGTTTTCCTCATATAAATGCACACAGTTTCTGACTGAACAGTCTGCTTACGTCAGGGTCTTGTGCTGCAGCCAGCTCTCGTGCTTGAAGTGAAGTTTCTCCAAGTACTCCGGAGGGATGTCTTGCTCTTCCTCTCTACCTCTCAGGTGTAACCGCTCTAAACATCTCTGTACATCAAAGAAGAAGAACACTGAACTTTTTGCTTATTTTGAGCTTTATTATAATTTTTTTAAATCATGAATGATGAAAATTGCAGAACTTTCTATTAAATGACAGTGTCATTTAGGTATAAACGTGTGCAGTACAAAGAAGGAGATTACCTCTGGTGAGGCTCTGAGGTAGATAATGCCATCCAGCTCAATGTGTTTGCCAAACTGGTTGTGCAGCCACCCATGCCAGTCCTGGTAGACGGACCATTCGGTCTCATTCATGCAATCACTCTCATATAGGTTGGCTGCAAAGATGTACCTAAGATGTAATCCAAAAAAAAAAGGATGAGCAATTCTGTTTCATTTATCACAGGATGTTTTAAATTGTAATTGTTTTGAGGGGTTAAATAAATCAGAGGCTGGTTTTTGTGGTGGGAAAGAAGTGAATTCTTACAAAGGTTTCTAAAGCCTGGTAAAAATTCCCACACTGTGTTCACAGTGAAGAAAAAAAAAAAGGAGGTATTTTCTGGGTAGTGATTTTAACACTTTTGCACAGTTCACCACCATTATTCTTTCTAATGAGAAAGATATTTTTATCAAGCGTACATATTCATCAATAGGTCCGATACCTGTCACTGTAGATGGACCGCTCAAAGAACTGCACAGGATTCTCAGCCTCTCTGAGCTTCCCGTTGGCTGATCTGATCTGGGCACGCACCCGGCTGATACAGGCGTAGCTCTGGAAAGTGTAAGCCCACCGCCCTGGCTTCTCGTACATCATTTGCAGGACGTTCCCGCCACTCCTCTGAGATGCGGTCAGCTCCTAGAACATAAAAATTCCATTGTTTAACTTTACACACCTTCATGACTTAGAGATAATAAATGCAGCCTTTTGTCATCATGTGTAACAAAAAGGTGAATCACTGTAAGCTGTGACATAGACCCATTGTTAAAAAAAGAAAAGAAAAAAAAAGCCATGTGACAAATACATGGGTAAAGCAGCAGCTATTTGATTTTTTACCAACCAAGCTCTACTGATGCAAACTCTTTGCACACGTTTCTTTACCTTTCACCAAAATAACATTTTTTAGAATTTCAGAATACAACTTTATGCCACATATGCTGTTTTTTTAAAGCACTGAACTCAGGTCCTTTAAGACAATCTGAAGCATCTTACTTTATACAGTTTAATGTGTCATATACGAGTGATAGTTATTATTATTTACCAATGTATTGTAAATTATTTAAGCTTTGTCTTTTGCTGAACAAAGCTGGCTTTTTCATAAACATCTCAGCCCACAATTAGTAAGTGAGTAAATAAGAAAAGCACTAACCCATTTTTCTAAATTTGATGGGTTCCTCACTGGCATTGCTCTCCAAAAATACTTTGTCCAATGACTGGCAGAGGGCGCTTTGACTACTGCCTTTAAAAGTTGTGGCAGTAGTGGAGACTTGTTGAGGACCCTTGAATGGTTCAGCAGAAGCAGTGTATTCTGATAGTGCCTCCATACTATCATTTTACAGCGTGCCAACACCATTTTGCACTATGTATTGGATTACCAACAAAAAGTGTACATGTGAGCTGATATGATATATTTTTATTTGAAGTGGTATCTTCTTTAAACTGGCCACTAGGAGTAGGGTTTTTTTTTTCCACATTCTGCAACAAATTGCAACTAGTGGTAACTAAATGGCCGCCCTGAGCTTGAGGGTGTTGCACACTCACAACTAATTTTGATTGACTGCAGGGCAACTGCACCAGTTGCCTGATAGGAAGCAACCTTTCTGCAAATGTAAAAGTTAAATGTGACTTCCTGTCTACGCAGACAGCAACAAATGTGTGGCTTTCAACCATTTCCACAGTTAATTGCTGAATGATCACAAACAGTTTGCATGTAATTGCAACCATGACCCTAGTCTGTCCGTCTTATGGCAACATTTCTGGCAGGTTTTACTGACAGCGTTGGTATACTCGACAATCTGGTGTTGCAGCACAAAGTGAAAATACTGAATAAGACAGATACTGACAATTTTATCAACAAATCTAGCAAATCTAACAAAGGTAGATTTGCCTGCTGCTGAACGCAAAAGAAGCACAAATTAAAGTTCACTTGTTTGAGGACATCACTTTTGAAAAAAGGTGATAAATTGAAGTATATGTTACTGCAATACAATCAATTTTTTTTTTTTTTAAATCACAATAATATCATATTGTGGTAATATATCTTGGGTTGTCTGATGATTCCCACCTTTGCTGGCGATGCTGGGCTGAATGAAAACTGCTAACAATGAAGGATCTACCTAACTTATTATGGATGACTGGTAACTTGTATCCAGTCATCCATAATATAACGACAGTGCAAATGCAACACACCAGTCTGCTTTTCATTCCATTAAGTTACTTGTTTAAGCATCTTTGGTTGATATGGAGAAGAGTATCTCAATATCCCTCTCACTGCCTGGTAGCTGGGGGTAAGGTGGGGGATCCTTATGGCATGTAGAGACCATGAATATTAGGCTGAAAGTGAGGTTACAGGTCTCCAGTTGTGTGGGAGGTCAGATGTTTGGCCTGATGATGATGATACAATCATCCGCCCACAGTGGGACCATCTGTCCCTCTGGGTGTGTGGCCACGCAGATACTGTATAAGGGCAGACAGCAGCTGCACTCTAAATACAGATGGGGAGTCTCCCCACGTCTTCCTGAATGCACGCATGCACGATAATGTGCTGGTTATTAAATTACTCAAATTTGCCATAAACTGACAAGAAAGCAAATTTTATGTAAATATCAGAAAAGTTTTTTTAAACGACTCTAATATAGAATCTTATTTTATTTTAATACCTCAAAGTCGCTGCCAGTTGTTTGAACATTGCACCACCTGGCGATCGGCTCTGGTACCACCTCCCAGTCCGCGCTCTCCTGCTCCAAGAGGCGAACAAAGGTAGATTTGCCTGCCGCTGAACGCAAAAGAAGCACAAATTAAAGTTCACTCGTGTCATATAGCGTACTGCATCGACCTAGCTATGCGTCACACAGGTGCAATATCGTTTAATATTTTCTTAGAAGAAGAATAGTCTAGTAGCAAATTGGCGGCAAAAGTAGTACATTAGGAGTACATCGTCTGAAGCTGTATACTGTTACACACAGGTACCCCAAGCAGAACCTGACATCCATCTGCGGACATTAAACCTTTAAAATGAACTTTTTGTTTTGTTAAATGTGACTTTTGAAATAAGCTGCAGCACTTACCGATGTTCCCCTCGATAGAAATCCGCTTTATTCTCTTCTCCATCGAGTCGTTCATTGGGTCTGGGCATGGCCTTTTTGGAGTAAAAGACATCTTCGCAAAAATTATTAAATATTTTTAAAACGATCTTTAAAATATTCCTTAGGATGTTGCGGCAGCTGCTAGGATGTCAGCTTGTTGTTTTAGATTTCGCGCTCAACGTTAGGAAGCGGAAGTTAGCACAGCCGCGTATCCGCCCCGGAAGCAGCTGTTGCTTACGTCAATAATTTAAAAAAAGAAGAAGAAACAAATGTAATTCCCACTGAAACAGACAGATAAATTAGCATTACGCTCATTTCCCTAAAGTAAAGTCATTTGAGCTTTGAATTATTGTATTATATAATCACGTATGGATGCGTAAACACGAGTTTAATGTTGTAACTGGTGAGCTGTGCAACTATTTTTATGCTGATATCTACAATAATGTAGTCCAATAGTATTTTCAAATATCTAATTTCATTGTATTTTATATGTAAAATTTGTTTAGTTTAAAAAATACCTGCATGTTTTTAGTAAAAAGGTTCAAAACATTTCTCTGAACTGCATCAAAGACGCAATGTGAGGTAGAAGTGGGTGGAGCAGAGTCCATGAATAAGTCATTCAGCGGATCGATCCAAATACCAATAATATCGATAACAACGGTGGTATTGGACTGATGGTTTGTTTCTGTGCTCTAAGTTCAATATTTAGCCCTTTGAACTGTATTACATTTTTTTTTATTCTTTTGGCAGTGAAAAAACCCATCAAACACGTTATGAAAATTGTCTGAACCCTTTCGTGTTGATTGCCACATCTATTTTATTAAATCATGACACATTGCTTCCCCCTACATAAACTGCCTTTATAGATGGCAAGACTGTCCCTCTATGTACTTTGCATGAGATTGATAACAAAATTTGCAGCATCGCACAGCATTTATGTGATCAGTGCAGGTCAATTTAGAGACTTGGGGCTATTTAAGTTTTATTAGATGGCTTCTTTCATTGAGAACATTGTACTATAGTTTAAATGCAGTTATTCCATGTTACACACCTTGACTGAATAGCTTGTATAACCACTCTTAGCACCAATAACTTGAAGCAATCGTTTTCTTTATGACTTTATCATTCGCTCATGTTGTTGTGGAGGAATTTTGGCCCACTCTTCTTTACGACCTTGCTTCCGTTCAGCGAGATTTGTAGACATTTATTCAGTTCTCTTAACGCCTCTCAACAGCATCGCAGTCAGGTTGAGGTCTGGACTTTGACTGGGCCATTGCAGCACCTTGATTCTTTCCTGTTTCATAATTGTACTACTGAGCTAAATAGATAAAACACATATTGACAAAGGAAGTGATAAATTGCAGTACATTTTACTGCAATACTATTATTGCACAATAATGGTGCCATGAGTGAAAAGCAATGTGATTTAAAAATTTCAGAAACTCAAAATACCTAACCGGGAAAGTTTCATTTTGATAATAGTTGGGTTTTTTATTTTTTTAAAGTTGATTTTCCCCAAATGCAACTCAAGATGGTGGTCAAATACAAATGTGGATGGAAAAAGAAAAGGAGAGAAAAAAAAAAAAAAAAAGAGGAAAAAAGGTACACACACGTACACACGTGTACACACACACACACACACACACACACCAGCATAAAGCAGTGAAAAAAGAAAAGGTTACAACTGTACTTGAGTACAGTACTTTATTAAATGCTTTACTCTGATCACCAGTAGCGCTGAGCTCACAGTACATAATGAACATACACGTTTTTCAAAGAGTCAAGCCCACCTTTATTTGCCTTATAAACAGCATAAATCAATTCAGTAGCATTGAAAACCCCTACCAAGCCTTTATTTACAGACAATTCACCAATTACTTCAGTCAAGGAGGAAAAACCGTCAACAGGCTATGTTACGGGCATTTCATAAGGATGAGATGCTTGCAGGATGACCGATATTCTATTACATTTTCAGATATCTGGTGAGCAGTAACATTCATCATAATAAGCTAAGTAAGTTGGAAATGAGAAGATACTGAACAATCAAAACAAACAAGATTTTAATATCCAAAGAAAGGGAGAAGGAAGCAGCCTCTAAAAGGTATAAATGCACTCGTTTAACCAAAAACTATCACTCCATGCTTACTGAAACTTCCAAGACGTGTCTGACTCTCAGTATTTACACGTGTGTGTTTATAAGTGTTATACCTCTGACAAATTTCAGATATAAAATATTCATGTCACAGTTTGTTTTTTTTGTTTGTTTGTTTGTTTTGTTTTGTTTTTTTAACTTAACCTGACAGAGAAGCACTTCTGTATGCATCCTTCACCCGAACAGAAGACCTATAAAGAAATCTCAATATTGGATATAAAGTATGAATGAGCCAACTGGCATCCCCTTTTAGTGTCGTGTCAATTATTGCATAGTCAAAAACTACACTTTGCGATTGGAGAAAGGTACATGAATCTCCTCTTTGAATCACCACAACAACAAACCAGTCAAGAAAGAAAGCAATAAGAAGTCTCACTTGTGCCTTTCAGCTGATTTAAGAGGGAGTTAAATGAAATAAACTATGGTCAGTCACATGGTACAGCTTCTCCCAAAGCACAGCCAATCCATGTGGGAGTGGGGCATCGGGCAAGGAGGAAGAAAACATTCAAAAAATAGAGATCAGAAACACTGTTCAAAGTGCCTTACAGCTAGTATGATAACAAGGGATTCTGCTGTATCCAATTCATAATGCTAGCATGTCTCAAACAGTGGAGTCTAAACACAGATTTCTACATCTATTTCCCTACAATTTCAGGTTTTCCATCCCTTCAAAGTTCTTCTAAAACCTGTTACTATTTCAAAGTTTTTGAAGGGGAAAAACTAGTACACAGGGACATGTTACTAGACCATGCTACAAGATTCGTCATTTCTTAGTCCCTGCTACAGCATAACATTATTCTAGCTTCACTTCTATGTCCTTCAAAACACATTCATGTATCATAGCCTGCACATTATAAAACTTGGCCAAGAGACTTTATAACTAAATAAAGTCGACGAGGACCAGAAGAAATAAAGAAATAATTCTGAGCCAAGTTACAGGACACATAGGAAAAAAAATAGGGGTGGGGGTGTAAGAAGCACATAAACTTAAAAGGGACGTGGTGAGGAAAATTGAATGAATCAATCACATCAGTGTTATATGGCCTTTGATATACTAGGGCAATTATGAGCCATGCTAGGCACTTAGGATTCTTTTGTGACTGATGTTATGATATTACAGATGTGGACAGTAGCAAACCTAGATCAAATCAAATCAAGATCCTTCTATGTTAAAATAAACCAATAATATTCAGTTATTTATCACACCACCCTATGATACAGCATCTCTGCTTAATCGCTACTCTCTTCTGTGATGGAGCTGGAACCTAATAGTATGTTATCTTAAATTCAAGTGGGACAAAAACAAAACATCTGTGCAGTCAGGTAGAAAATTAATAAACATATATCTATCTTATCTTAAAGTAAGCCATGATAGAATATAAGGGAAATTTCTTTTTTTTCCCCATACAGCTAATGTTAATCTGTGGTTTGCTCAATTAACTTAATCCCTGATAGCATTAGTCCTGGTGCCTTTAACCTAACAACACCCTTCCTTCTTCCTGGCCTTATTAAAAACATTTCCCCAAATGGAAATAGTACATACTGCATACATATAGCCAGGGTGGGGGTGGGTGGGTATCTGTGCAAAAACTAGAAGAGCAATAAAATAAGGATTACATGGCTGTTTATCTATCCTTGGTTGTCAGTTTTTCAATCAGCTCCTGTAGTGGGACCAGCTCTTTCCTGTCAATGAGGTTGAACTCCTGTGAAAGACAAAAGAAAAAGGAGCAAGCATTACCCCATGACTCGACACGTTACAGGCCTTGTTAGCAACGTGCCGCATTAGTCAGATATCAGGGATTCTTTACCTGAACAAAAAAGATGAAGTGTTTGAATGATGTGTTGAGGTGGGCCTCCTCTTGCAGCTGCATGACGGAGTCAAAGTGCTGGTGGTAGATGTGGGCGTAGACCCTGAACAGACGCTTCAGAATGGTCTTCGCCACAGACATAAAATTACGCTTAAAGGGCACGCCTTGGGAACAAAAGAAAGAGAAGGAAAGTGTTTAAAAAAAAAACAAAAAAAACCAAACAAACACCAGAGAGCTCGACATGCAGCTACATTACAGTCTGCCTGTGAAAATGCTGCAGTCTGCACAGGCAGGCCACAGCATGATCTTAGGGAAGCACAAAGAGTCATGAAAGCAACACAGCAACACCTCATGTTCACTGTGCTGAGGATTCATCTGCAGGAAACAAAGTTTTAGTTTCAACACTAAACTAAACTGCTGCAGAGCACAGAGGCTTCTACAGAGAGCCACCTACCGTACAAGTCAATATAGGCAACAGGACGAGTAAATTAAAGCTTCAGATGCTGAACAAATGAATGCACGCTTATTGAGCCCCGAATTGATTTTAACATGTGTGCAATGGGTACTTCGTCACAACACACACCTCCAAGGAACCTTGAAGATGCTGGCAGGCTTTGAGGTTATATCTGGCCAAGTGAACAACAGATCATAGGCAATGGAGTGAATTGTGTACCTCCGGGGCAGCACACTCACCACTTCTACTGATATGTACTGGGTCTATCAGACTGCAGTCTATGCTGGCTGCCATTCAATCGCAATAAAACTCCACCTTAGACTGCACACGCCACAACTAGTTATGAGGCTGATAACTGTGTAGGTATGCAAATACTACCACTTAACAATCCTGTACACTGTCATCCAGGAAGATCTCTAAATGTGTTAGGTTATTACATAAAATTAAAAAAGACAAATGCACCGCTACATTTAAATAAGGAAAACTTGAAAAGTTTACATTTCTGCCAAGTTCATCATTTCTATTACTTGCATGCATTCATTTTGCGTGGGAGCTGGATTTCTCTGGTGATAAAAAAGGCTGTGCATGTATTCTGAATCTCCACACACCTTATTGTTTGATGTACGACATGTGCATTAAAACGCTAACTTTTCTTTGGAGGTGAAGGCTGGTAGAAACTACAAAGTGAATCATACCGATCTTTGAAGGGAAAAGCGTCTCATCATCGAGCTGGTCTTGCACCCAAGTCATGAGGTAATCAA